GTCTACTGTTCATCACACTAATCAGTGTGTAATAAAAAAATGTATGTGATACATAATTGTTACTAGCCGCCAGTTCTTCAGGTAGTGTTTAGAGGTCTCAATGCGTCTATGTCCAACTGTAACTGAATATCACAGTTTCGTAACTCGACAAACGGCATAGCATCTGCATCGGCTAGACGGATGACAACCTGTTTGCTATGAAAACTAACTGGGCATTCGATTGCGCGGGGGCGGTATGTATCAAGTGCCTTAATCACTGTTGCTCCGATCACATTAGCGTTAGGTAAACCGTTATTACGCAAGAACACAATCTGTTTGACTTCACTTATTTGCAGTTTATTTTTTATTTAAACTCGGTAGTTCAACTTTTATCACACTGTTCTCATTAATTTTTTGCAGATGCAGGCCACTTAGTTTTCTGTACACACGGTTTTAATACAAAAAAAGAACAAACAGACAAACAAACACAGCGGACCCTACTCTGAACAAGTCAAGGTTTTTCAGAAGTCACAAAACGGGTTGTTTCAGTTTTCATTNTTACAACCATTAACCATGTACTTTCGTGCGCCGTCTTTTGGTCGCCCATTTGGATAAAAAAGCAGAATTAAGATTTGAATGATGAAAGCAAATTCAAGCGGAAGATGGAGAATTCATATAGACTGGTGTTAAGAGAATAATGAGTAGATGCATGTCGCGACAATCAGCCATACCACTCAGTGTCTCCAACCATCGGTGACCATCATCAAGGGGTCCCCCACCATGGAGCCTAACGGGGCCTAAAGGTGTTGGCCAAACTCGTGCAGCATCACCTTCATTTTGGAAATGCATTTCAGCTTGCAATATCATACTTATATATAAATGGCTGAGTAAAGTGTATTTATTCCTGACTTTATCACCGACATCTATGTTCTTAGTTCGTATCTGTCACTATTTGAATTTGCCTAACCTTGAGTGAGTGAAAACAGTCCAAGAAACACAATTTGATCTTCTAAAGTTGACCTTGAGGTGTGCGGCTCGTTGAATAAGCGTCCTGTGGCGTCACCATGCTCAAACCGGATGGTTGGCAATCAACTTGGTGGATTCCATGCTAAAGCGAATGCATCTAGTGCTCAAAAATGAAGAAGAGCAAATAGAACATGGAGGAGATGAAAGTACAATACCTGTATAAAGTCTATGAGTCACCTAAATAAATAAATTACAGTTACGTTTTCCACTGTGACTTTGTTATCTTACAAGTGATGCACCAGCAACCGTCATCAAAATCGCGAAATTGTACATTTTAATGGCATGTGGCTAATAGAAGCAGTGACATATCAGATATGTTGCGTCTGATGTGAGATAATATGATATTGAATCCCGTGAATAAGGTTGGAAAAATGAAGCATTGAGAGGAACAAATGTGATGAAAATCAGGATGTTGTACGAGTTTGGTCAATACCTGTATGTGACCTAGTCTCCTGATTAGGGGTTTTATACTCCCATGTCAGGTTTTCGTTTTATTGACCTTTTTTCAACCGCTACCTGCCTCGGCGAACATCGCTCGCCGTGGCAACCTAAATCAAACGGGTTTTTGGTTTTTGTTCGAATCTGATTGGTGACCATTTCATAAAACCGTGTTCCACGACAGTCGGTTAGGTCAATCAACGACCCAAGCGACAGTTCGGTACAGTTATGGAACAAAAATAACTACCGAGTGAAGTGAAAGTTTCAAAAGATTGCGAATTTTCCCAAATCCGACTAGGTTAAAAGTACACTGGTCACGTCATGGTAATGAAACAATGATGTCGTCAGTCCAAACAATAGACGTTGCTTGACCATTGGTTACCATGGCACATTTGTCCGGGTTTTCCATGTACGGCAGATGCCTCAAGTGTAAACCATCCATTCAAACAACACAATACCCGGTCGGTTTTAGAGCTGGAGCGTATTTATCGATTCCCCAAGGGGAAAGAGAACGGGAATAATTAAAAATCTGTCTTGAAGTAATACTCGCAAACACACGCAAAGATTGGTCAAAAACTAAAAGAAAACACTCACTCATCCCATTGCATATTAGGGGGAGGGA